AACATGCAGAAGCTCTCTCTGGCTTCAATCCCGAGCAACACATGAAACTGGGCATGGGGCTGGAGAGATGGCTCAGCAGTTAAGAACACTGGCTGCTCTTCCAGATGACCCGGGTTCATTTCCCAGCACCCATATGGCAGTTCACACCTGTCTGTAACTCCAGTTCCAGAGCTTCTGATACCCTCACACACCAGGGCATGTGGCCCCTGCCTACAATGGCAGCACTCAGGAAGTTGCAGCAAGACCAAAAGTTCAAGACCATGGGGTTTAGGAAAGGGCTCAGTGGGTCAAGTCCCTGTTGTGCATTAGTAGAAAAGCTTTGAGTTCAGGTGCCCAGAACCCAAGATGTCTTACTCTCTTACACAGAGCATGGGATCTAACCAAGGGCTTCCTGCAGGCTAGGCAGGCTACCAACTGAGCTAAACCCATGCTCCAAGAGACTGCAGAAATTGGAATGTAGCATACCCTAGAAATCCTGAAATGGGCCAAACCCAGGATGAACCAGGGAAGGTTAACCATTTAAATTTGCTATAGATGTAATACTGAACTCTGACTCGGTTCTCCAAACCCCTAAATTCTCAGTTCTCAGAAAAATCTCACTCTTACATAAGTTGCACACTTACACTTAATGAGTACCTAAAAGCCCAAGCCCTTTGGACGAGGTCATCTCTTCAGAGAGGATCAGCTCAGAGCCTCATTTGAAGTGCTAGTCCATCTGTAAAACCCTGGCAAGAGCTGCAGTTAATATTAATTAAGAGCAGAAACAGGTTCCTTCTTGAACATCTTTTCTTTAGTCAAGTTCAAGATGCTTCCAAATGGAACTTCTCCAATTCTCCTACCCTTGAGATACTAGACTCCAATATTAAAAGGTGTCTGTTTTTTTCAATACCACTGTCTGGTCCTTAGAATGGGATCTTTAGATCCTTCAGATAAAACCTAACAAAGAGATCTATCACAAAATATCAGAGTTCAGGAAGAGGGGGGTGTTCCTTCTGAGACACACTTTCCCTATGTAGCCCTAGCCCTACCTAATTCAACCTACCACACCCTGACATTACAGGCATTCACGGTGCTAGGACTCAAACCCTCCAGTACTTCAGTATTGGGCAAGCATGCAACCAACCAAACCGCATTCCCGTCACAAACAGAACTTTTGATGGGACACATTCTATAGCGTACCAGTTTTGTGTGTACACATTAAGTACTTGCACATACACACGTTTGGGTGGTGGGTGGAGGGGGGGGTAGCTAACATTCCCTACATTCCCTGTGAGAGAATGTAGGGCTCAGCCCCTTGCAATTTAAGGCAAGTCTTTCTGTTTCTTCATAGCGTGTGCTAAGCAAATACAAGCTGAAGACCTGGAGGCGGGTCCTCAAATAAGGTATTTGATAAGCCTCAGCCTGCACCGCTCCAGGCAGCCTGGGAAAGGCCAAGAGAGAAATAATTATCGCCAAGCTAATCTCAAGTTCTCTGTGAGCATCACACTTACCACCAAACTAATCAAGCTGAAGCAGGCTAACTTCTGGTAACACATACACACAAATTTATGACTGGATTTCTACCTTTAATACAGACAACATGAACCCTTTTTCCTGCATTATAGTTTGCCAGACCACAATTTCAGGGGTAAACACATGCTATAGGGAGAAGGTACAGTAAGGGGCACACCATTAAGCTGCTCCGACCAGCACATGCCTATAATCCTAGCACCTGGTATTGGGATAGAGACTGGAGTTTAAGAGTTCAGGTTCAGTCAGGCAGTGCTGGCACACACCTTTAATACCAGCGCTCAGGAGGTGGAAGCAGGTAGATCTCTGAGTTTGAGGCAAGCCTGGTTCTACAGAGTAAGTTCCAGGACAGCCAGGGCTATTACATAGAGAAACCCTGTCTCAAGATTTAAAAAAAAAAAAAGGAATTCAAGCTGGGGAGCTAAAAGCCAACATAATTCACAGCTTTATCTCAAAATAATAACAATAATAATAACTTTTTAGGAAAAAAAAGCTTAGTTAAATCATTTTCTTTTTTCTTTTTTTTTTCTTTTTTTTCGAGACAGGGTTTCTCTGTGTAACTTTAGAGCCTATCCTGGTATCCTGGCACTCACTCTGAAGACCAGGCTGGCCTCGAACTCACAGATCTACCTCTTGCCTCCCGAGTGCTGGTATTAACCACCAACGCCCAGCGGTAAATCATTTTCTTAAGCAGTATGATTACCGCAGCACCAGGCTCACTGACACAGTAGATATGCAGCCAGTGGATGAAGCAATACCTACTGGCCTTCATTTTACTATATTCAACAAACAGCTGATACAATCATCATGGAAAGTGGGGAGGAAGGAGATGGATTCTGCAGAGCAGTGAGGTCAGATAGTCCCTTTCCTACAGGGCAGCTTTTTGCCAGACCTGGCTGCAGGAGGCAAGAGCCTGTCCAAATCCAGGCTGTAGCAGATGGCCTCAGCTACTTTCTAAATGAAACTGCTACTGACTTCCTGGGTTGCTGTTTCATCATCACCTTCAAATTTCAGCTATAAACTGTATATTCAAAAGCGTTCTTGGCTTCACGGGGAGGTTAAGAGCAAGCAGCAAGTGACAAGAAAAATAACACTGAGTAATTGTGTTCTTACTTACAAGACAGTGGACCCTAAGACTCCCACATAAGCCTCTAGAGAGATAGAATGGCATCATATACACCAAGTCCACTAGGAAGAAGCCACTTTCAAGACAAATCGCAGTTTTTTTGTTTTTGTTTTTGTTTTTTGGCTTTTAGAGACAGGGTTTCTCTGTGGCTTTGGAGGCTGTCCTGGAACTAGCTCTTGTAGACCAGGCTGGTCTCGAATTCACAGAGATCCACCTGCCTCTGCCTCCAAGTGCTGGGATTAAAGGCATGCACCACTAACGCCAGGCTCAAATTGCAGTCTTTCTTTCCTTTCCCTGGAAGAAAAAAAAAAAAGGCCGAAGGAGGTGATTCCCAAAAACATTTAAGTCACTTTTACTATGGGAGGAAAGGGTAAAGGAATGAAGGCATTTAAAAGGATAGAAATCTATAGGCCAGTGGTAGTGCATGTCTTTCTTTAATCACTGGGGAAGCAGAGGCAGGCAGATTGAGTTCAAGATCAGCCGATCTACAGAGTGAGTTCCAACACAGCCAGAGCTACAGAAAAACCCTGTCTCAAAGAAACAAAAAAGTTCAGAACAGAGGAAAGTTGGCTGGTATGGTATTTTAAAACTGAGAACAGAGCAGAGTGTGATGAAGCACGCCTTAATCCCAACCCTAAGCAGACAGAAGTAGGTGGATCTGGTTTCCAGGTCACTCTGGTCTTCATAGTGAGATGCTATCTTTAAGAAAATTAAAATTTTAAAATGATGGGGGTTAGAGAGGTGGCTCAGTGGCTAAAAGCACTGGGTGCTCAAGATGACCTGGATCCAGTTTCCAGTATCCATATGATGTCTCAACCACCCATTAACATTCGGGGGACCTGACGCCCTCTTTTGACTATTGTAGGAACCACACATGAACATGTAATATTCATACATGTAAAATAAGTTAACCTTGTTTTAAAATGAGAACAAAAGACAGCCAAGTAAAAAGCTTTCAAAACTCTCTAAGTAGAGGAAAAAGCTACCTCCTCTCTTAATGCTCTTTTAAAAAGTGGAAAGGAAGCCAGGTGTGGAGGATGGAGGCACAGGCCTTTAAACTCCGCAATCGGGAGGTAGAGGCAGATGGATCTGAGCTTGAGGTGGACCTAATCTACATAGCTAGTTCCAGCACCTAGGGCTATGCTTGTACAATGATGACACACTTGGGCTGATGAACAATCACAAGTCCTCTTTTTTTTTTTTTTTTTTTTTTTTGGTTTTTCAAGACAGGATTTCCCTGTGGCTTTGGAGGCTGTCCTGGAACTAGCTCTTGTAGACCAGGCTGGTCTCAAACTCACAGAGATCCACCTGCCTCTGCCTCCCAAGTGCTGGGATTAAAGGCGTGCGCCATCACCGCCCGGCGCTAATCAAAAGTCTTTGCCCTCATGTACAACAAACAGCCAGGACAGCAGAGCCGGGGAGAACAGAGCACCAGGAGACTGCCTTCCTTCTCCAACCTGGGAGGAGCATCGTGGATGCATGCATCTCCTCAACCAGGCTAACCTGATCATCAAGCTGCCAGATTTCCCCTACTGCCTAAGCATGAAGGCCATCAACTATTCGGTGACTTCGAAATCAAGTGCATGAGCTTAGAGTGAAGCCAGACAGCCTAAAGTCATTGATAAAGGTGGATACCTCTACTGCCCATCTAAGAAAGAAAAGGGCCACTAGTCCAGCCACACAGGTTCAGTGTAAAACTCATATTCCAAGTGCAGAGAGTGTTGCGCAATGGGATGGATATTATGCTAGCGTGTCTCAGCTAACCTCCTCTATATAGCCTCACCGGGAAGAAGCCCAACCCTAGATACAAGCCCTCAGGTCGCCGCCCCCCACTAGACAAGGGAATTATGGAGCTCAGGAGTGCAGCATTCATATCCACATGAAGTTCCATCCTCAGCAGAGAATAAGAATCTAACTGGGGCATGGGGTGCGCCTATAAACCCGGCTACTAGGACAGAAAAATGACTATTAACTTAATAAGGCACTATCTCAAATCTAAGTGCTGGTGGGAAGGCTTGAAGTATAAAGACACTTGACAGTTTGAGGACCTGAGCCCCCTGTGCGCAATGGTAGGACCACACTCACATACAAATAAGATTTTAAAATTTAACCGTTTTGGGGTGTTGTTCAGTGGTGCAGTACCTGCCTAGCCTATCTGAAAGTCACTAGAGGTAAACTATACAATCTGTTATACATAAATGCATCTATCTAGGACACAGGTGTGAGGAAAGATGTCTCCCCAAAAAAAATCCAAAAAGGGGGGGGGGGCTGGCTTTTATAACCTGCTTCAGAAAGAATAAGCGGCCTTTCAGATGCTTAAAGTTGTTGATTTTTAATCTGCTTTTCATTATTGTCCTCCACCCACCTGTTCACACTTGAGATGCCTCTGAAATGCAGATTCAGGAACAATTAGCACATAAGGAGCAATATCCACCTTGGCCACAGATGAGGACAGAAGTTGCTAATTACCCTCATCTGCATCCTAGAAGTGTACAAACCCCGCAGTTCCCCGCTGTAGCTTTGCCTTCTCACGCTTGTTCCTTTGGAACCCGGAGCCCAGGAAGAGGGGAGAAAACCGGGAATTTGCAAGACTAGGGAGAGATGGGGCAATCTAGATCCCCAACTTCACCGCATCCGCCCAGAGCCAGTCTCAAAAGGCCATTTGCAGAAAGGCAGAACTCAAAATGCAATTTATCAGAACAGAACGAGTCTCCAGGCGACCAAGCCGGGATTGAGGAGGAGGGGAGTTAGCGGGGACACTTTGCCGCGGACGCCGGCAGCGACCACAGGCCTTTCACCTCCACGCAGCGCTTAGCTTCAGGCCGGAGCGTGCCACAGAGTCCCAGCGCGCCGGCGGACGCGACTCCCACAGGTGGGAGGCGCGCGGTCCCCAGCTCCTCGCCGGGGGAGGCGACGCGCGGCACGGCAAGACTGCAACAGAGGACCCAGGGACTCTGCATACGAGAGGCGGCA